TAAGCAACATGGCAGTGAACACCATCATATATATGTTTATATATATATGTATATATATACATATTTGGCATGTGTGTCCCATTATGTACATAAGACAAGCTCTAGGAAGCAGAATTGCTGTGTTGGAGGCTAAGCCACTGGAAAGACAACTCCTGGCTCACAATCACCGCCCCTTACTTGTGGATGCTGTCGCTTTTGCCTGACCCAGCATAGTCCCTCCTCTCCCTCATCACAGAGAAGGGAGATGTCCATCTCCACCTCACCTTCCATGGAGTGAAGTCATGACTCATCCCACCTCCAGGCACAAGATACACATCTGGCCAAAGAAGTGCCCGGCCCTCTGGGTGCCAGAGATGATTAGCTCAGGGGTAGGTCCATGGCGCAAATGAATCCAGAAAGAGCCAGGGCCTAGGCTTGGGCTTCAACTATCAGGATGGGAAGGAGAGAGCGCTTTCCTTATCTACCAGCAGCAAAGACAACGGAGCCTGGAGATTAGATTCTGGAGCCAGTCACCCTGGGAGAGGGTTACCCAAGAAACATGAAGTTCGGACAGAGATGACCAGAGAGAGGGGAGAGGGAAGGAGAAACTTTATTTTAGTCTCTGGTCCCCAAAGATCTGAGTCAACTTGAACCACCATTCACTCATTCTTCTTCACTTTTTTTCCTGAAATTATTGTAGTTATCTTTCTGAGTTTTGCAATTTTAAACATCCTAAGTAGGGGGGGTATTCTATTCTGGGGACTGGTTCCAGCGCACAGGCACCCACCCCAGGTTCCTGATTGCACCTGGTGATCCTGCTCAGCCATCTGCCACAGTGACTGGTCCTGGACACCTGAGCAGAGAATCCCAGGTCCTCCCCAGCGGACACCTCCCACAGCTGCACAAAGCACTCACAGCCTCCCTGGGTAACTTCTTCTGTGTTCTGGGGACTAATCATCTGATTTTTAAAAAGGGGGCGGGTGGGGGGCCTACTGTCAACTAAGTATGAGAAACTCTCCACTGAAGAAATACCAACAACTTCATTTTCAAGTATTGTCTGCAGAACTTCTCCTAGTCATTAAAATGTTGTAAGGGGGGTGAGTTGTGGCATAGCAGGTAAAGCCACTGCCTGCGGTGCTGGCATCTCATATGGGCACCAGTTCAAGTTCCGGCTGCTCCTCTTCTGATCCAGCTCTCTGCTATGGTCTGGGAAAGCAGTGGAGGATGGCCCAAATCCTTGGGTCCCTGCACCCACGTGGGAGGCCCAGAAGAAGCTCCTGGCTCCTGGCTTCGGATCAGCACAACTATGGACACTGTGGCCAACTGGAGAGTGAACCTGCAGATAGAAGACCTCTCTCTCTCTCTCTCTCTCTGCCTCTCCTTCTCTCTGTGTAACTCTGACTTTCAAATAAGTAAATAAATCTTTAAAAATATGCTAGTAGGCCTGGTGTTCTCAGCTCAGACAGCACGGGACAGTGGGGGTCTGGGGGGAGGGGCTGGCAACCACTCCAGAGGCTGCCCGGTCCCTTCTCAGAAAGAGACTTCAGGGAAGTCACTTAACCTCTCGGAGCTACCAAATACCAAGAACAGCCAAAACGATCCTGAATTTAAAAAAATCAAACTGGAGACATCACAATACCTGATTTCAAAGCACATTACAAAGCTATAGTAATTAAAACAGTATGAACTGGCAAGAAAATCAACACATAGATCAATGGAACAAAATACAGAGCCCAGAAATTAATACACATACATATAGCCAACTGATATTTGACCAAAGTGATCAGAAAATATGTTGGAGAAAGCATAATCTCTTCAATAAATGGTGTTGGCAAAACTGGGTGTGTGTGTGTATATATATATATATATATATATATATCAGAATGAAATTAGAGCCCTACCTTTTACCATATACAAAAAAATCAACCCAAGATGGATCAAAGACCTAAATGTAAGACTTGATCATATGAAATTGCTAGAAGAAAATGTAGGAGAAACAATTCAAAACACTGAAGTAGGCAATGAATTCCTGAATAAGACTGCTGAAGCAAACAGGTGAAAGCAAAATTAAACAAATGGGAATATATCAAACTCAGAAGCTTCTGCACCCAAAAGTGCAAAAAGTTTGTGCAGTTCATTCTGATGCAAAAAAAAAAAAATGAAAAGTATGCATAATAAGATTTCAAAAATTTTTTTGCTCCAAAATACACTCTTTTTCTTTCTTTTTTTTTAAAAAAAGATTTTATTTATCTGGCAGGTAGAGTTACAGACAGAGAGAGGGAGAGTTAGAGAGAAAGGCCCTCCCTCTGCTGGTTCACTCCCCAAATGGCCGCAATGGCCAGAGCTGGGCAGATCCAAAACCAGGAGCCAGGAGCTTCTTCCAGGTCTCCCACGTGGGTGCAGGGGCCCAAGCAGTTTTGCCATCTTCCACTGCTTTCCCAGACCACAGCAGAGAGCTGGATCAGAAGAGCAGAAGCCAGGAGACGAACTGGTGCCCATAGGCCATCCTCCACTGCACTCCCGGTCACAGCAGAGAGCTGGACTGGAAGAGAAGCAACCAGAACAGAACCGGCGCCCTGACCGGGACTAGAACCCGGGGTGCTGGTGCCACAGGCGGAGAATTATCCTAGTGAGCCGGGGCGCCGGCCTCAACTACATTTTTCTAACAGACTTTATGAAATACCTTCCTGTTTGTTCATATGTAGCCTTAATTACAGCATGCTGTTTTTCTTGAGAACACATGACGGTCATCTTGGTTGACCTTTGTAGATTAATACATTTTCCTCATTTTGTACTTACCCTCAAATCTGAGGGCGAGACATTGTTGCAAATGACTTAGCTCATACTTGACATGCACTTTTAAATAGACTGATTATGACCAGCCACTTTCAGATGTGAAATTTCTGAACCTGCCCCAGAATTTGGTGCATACACTTCTGCACACTTTGGGGAGACAACCCCTGGGCCTAATTAAAAGCATGTCACTCACTCCACTCAGGGTTTATTTTTTGGAGCACGTGTGACTAATCACGGGCATGTATTCCATTCTCTGTTGCCTAGGTGGTGTGTTCTAAATGTCTTCCTGAAATGTGATTGTGAGTGGGAGCCTCACACATCCTTCATCAGTGGGATATGAACAAAGAATGAGCTTTGCGCAGAAGGTGGCTGGGATTGAGGGGCTGGGGGGCAGACAGGAGGGCCCACAAATCCAGCCCTGTGTCTGCCCAGGGTGGATCCCACACGCGTATGTTTTTATTTTACAAGGTCACGAAATGAAAAGGCAGCTGTTCTAGGGCCTCAGACCCTGTGACTGGACATATCCTGAGCCTGCATCATTCAGCACCCAGTGCCTGCCTTATATCCTGACATTTCAGAAGTCTAGGATGACTCTCTCCGATCTGCCAGCCCATAGGTCTAAAAGACAAGAGCTGGACTCACAGACGGCTGCCCAACACGTGTACCCAGACCCATTTTCTCTGCCACCCACGCCATGCACAGGGCACTCAGAGTTCTGTCGCAGAGCCAGTGGGGATTCTTTGGGGGCAGCCACCCAGAAGAAATTGTTCTGGTCAGCTGAGCTGTGGAGCAGCCCCAACTGCTGTGTCAGGCAGACTTGGGCGGTGCACCTGTTTTCTCTTGGGAGTGGTCCCAAGACTTCATGTGTCCTGTGACAGCCAGACCCCAAAAGACGGTGCTGTGCTGGGAGCCAGGTGGCGTCATCAGAAGCCCCATCGAAAATCAGTGCAGGCTGGAAGAGCACCCTGAGTCAATGACCCAGAGTGTGTACAAGATCCCCCCCAGCACTGTCAGTTGCCAACCTCATCAAGGGCACAGATTCAGTGTGTCCAAAACAAGAATCACAATCCACCTCTCCAGCCCCTTTCTCTCTGCGCTTCCTGCCCTAGCCCCTGGCACCATCATCCACCCAGAAACAAGGCCATCTGGCTGGGTCTGCCTTTGCCCTCTGAACTTGCTAAGTGCGTTCACTTCTCCCCACCTCAACGACAGTGCCCTGGCCCACACTCCAGCCACCAACCTCCTGAAGGACTCTGGCCACATCCGCTGCTCCTCCATCCACCCTAGTCTAGGGTGATCTTTTTTTATTATTATTTATTTTTATTCACCCAATAGACAGAGACAGAGAGTTCCCATCCACAGATTCATTCCCCGAATGCCCGCAACAGCCAGGGTTAGGCTGAAGCCAAGGGTGATGAGATCAATTAGGTGACAGGAGCCCAGTCACTAGAACTATCATCGCTGCCTCCCAGGGTCTGCATTAGCAGGAAACTGGAATTCGGATTGGAGCCACAACTTGAATGCAGAAACTCCAGTGTGGGACACAGGCTTCTTACGGGAGTCTTACCCACTAGGCTAAACGCCCACCCCCATAAGTTCTCCAGCAATCCACTACAGATCTCAGGACAAGGATCAATACCCCCAGAGCCTGTGTGGCTTCTGCCTGTGGCTTCAGCCTTGCTTTTGGCCACATGCTACCCCACAAATATGAGCCAACCAGCCCTGCTGGCTTCCCTCCCAGTCAACTGACATTTGTATCTGTATTGACATCCTCTAATATCATCTCACCACCACCCCCTTTTTAAAATTCTAGTGGTAGGGGCTGGTGCTGTGGCATAGCAGGTAAAGTCACTGCCTGCAGTGCCGGCATCCCACATGGGCACTGGTTCAAGCCCCGACTGTTCCACTTCCGAGTTAGCTCTCTGCTATGGCCTGGGAAAGCAGTAGAAGATGCCCCCAAGTCCTTGGGCCCCTGAACCTGTGTGGGAGACCCAGAAGAAGCTCCTGGCTCCTGGCTTCGGATCAGCCCAGCTTCGGCCATTGCAGCCATTTGGGAAGTGAATGGAAGATTTTTTTCTCTCTCTACCTCTCTGTAATTCTACCTTTCAAATAAATAAATAAGTCTTTAAAAAATATAGTGGTATAACACACATAACATAAAGTCTACTGTTTTAATCACTTAAAGTGTACAAGTCAGTAGCATTTAATTCTTTCACACTGTTGTGCAAAACTTGTTGTGTGGAAAACACCGATTTGTAGGACATCCTTGCTCAAGGGATATGCTAATCTTCCCTGCATTCTTCTAATTTTGATATATGTTCTATGAAGTAAGGACTAGGACACCCATATTTTAACTGTGAACTCTGCCTCATCTTTTAGACTTAAGTGTTACAGTCCTGGATTCAGACCAGAGCCAGTGCATCCCACGCCCCTCAGCTTCACGGCACTTAGCATCAGCAATGCGAGTGCTGGGCCAGGGTCTCCCACCCACTCTTCACCATGGACTCTGTGGGAACGGCACCCAGCAGCGGACAGAGTGTGGGACACAAGACAGAAGCTAGCACACCCTGTTCAGTGAAGGAGCATGGACAGACGAAGAAATGCAATTCCACCCCCGCTGGAGACCACCTGCAACATTATATACATCACTGTGTGGTTCTGCGGTGGCTTAAGCTCTGTTCTGGAGTAAGATCTCGGCTCTACACTTAGATAACCAGAACTAAAAGGAGGTATCTTCTTTCTCACTTCTCTAGTAGAAGAGCAATTTTTCCCACAACTATTAATGAGGACTTCATCTCTTACCAAAGAGGAAGCCACCTGGTAGTTTTAAATAGAGTAGGTTTCCCCTTGATTCTATTCACCAAGGTTTCAAAGTTCTGAATGGAGAAGCACGCTTGCTAGCAGTCTGTGATTTCTTTTTTTTTTTTTTTTAAGATTTTTTTTAAAATTTATTTGACAGGTGGAGTTACAGACAGTGAGAGAGAGAGACAGAGAGACAGAGAGAAAGGCCCTCCCTCTGCTGGTTCACTCCCCAAATGGCTGCCACGGTCAGAGCTGTGCCGATCCAAAGCCAGGTGCTTCTTCCTGGTCTCCCATGCAGGTGCAGGGGCCCAAGCACCTGGGCCATCCTCCACTGCCTTCCCCCAGGCCACAGCAGAGAGCTGGCCTGGAAGAGGAGCAACTGGGACTAGAACCCGGTGCCCATATGGGATGCCAGCGCTGCAGGCAGAGGATCAACCTAGTGCGCCATGGCGCCGGCCCCCTAGTCTGTGATTTCTGAAAACTCATCATCAAGTGCAGCTCCTTTTGCATCAGGTGTTCAGCGTGGCCCCGCCCACCTATCTGACCCACCTGGGCCTGACTGCTGGGTCTGGGAAGGGTTCCCCCAGAACTGAGGTTTGTCTGCACCCACCAAGTTCATGGGATGCTCAGTCACACCTGACATCAGGCAGCCAAAGACTCACATGTGGAGTTAAGGCTGGAGGGGCCGACGTCACGTGATCCTTCACGCTGGGAGCTGGGGACAACGGCATTTCTGGGTGAGGGGAAGCCAGCAAACCCCAGGAGTCCTCAGCAGGGGGCCCGGGCTGCACTGGACATCTGGTTTGGGAGCCAAAAGCCTTACTCTTGTCTCTCTACTTGGTTGCACATGATGTTCCCCACTGCATTTTCTGGGGCAGCTTCTACTCCCATGGCCCCCCTTGGAGCAGCGCTAAGACTTTTTGGTCATCTTGCACATGGACGAGTCGTCCTAGAGAGCAGACAGGCCTTTAATTTGACTGACTGCACGGCACCTGGCTGCACCCTGTGGTTAGTGTATTAACCCCCAAGCTAGTCTGGAGTCCAAGAGGTGGTGATTCAGACCACCTGGCAGCACCCAAACCCTAAAAGTTCCGAACCCTGCCGAGGCTCCGGCCCCATCGTGCTGAGTGTTCCATGCAGACACCCTTTTTATGCCAGAACTGGTGATCTGCAGAATTTCACTCCATCTTGGGATCAAAAGCTAGGATGCCTCTGCCTCCAAGAATAGCCCCTGGGACGCTGGGTCCCCAAGGGACGCCTCTAAATCCTGCCCTCTCCTCGTGGAGAGCGTGCTGAAAAACACACTAATCTCTTGGACGAAAGCAAGGGCTGAAGTGCCTGAGGCTCCCGCCTCGGGGATCAGCGCGTGCTGAGATAACCCCCGGGCTCTTGGCCCAGGAGGTGATGAAAGGGAGAGAGGCGCCTGCTGTGAGGTCACCACCCAAAAGCCCCTCACACCTGTCCCTGGTCACCGCCTCTCCCAGCCTGGGCTCCACTGAGCTGAAGGTTCCAGTGTCCAAAAACATGCCGTGCCCCCACACCTCCCGTCTCGCTGGTCGGTCTCCCTGTCTTTGTATCTGCAAATCTGCCTTTCACCACTTCTGCCGCATCTTCCCCTCAGCATCACCAGCGCTTGGCCCCCATCTCCTCTTCCCGTGGCCATAGCTCGTTTCTTTCCATGTCAGCTGTCAGAACTCCCACTGGAGCAGAGAGAGGTACCTGAGCTCCAGCCACACAGCAGCCAGTGCACACCCACATCACCCCAACGGGTGCTATCTACCTCCTCCTAGGTTTTCCGAAGCTCCTTCTCTTAAGAAAGCAGGCTTTCCAGGGCTCCTTCATTTTTGCCTCGGTGGTTTTACCTGTCACCAGATTCTGAAAGGACTTCGAACCGCCCAGAAGGGCAGAAAAGTATCCCACGATTATTTGTGTTTTCACCTGGCTTTTTAAAAGTCACGGTCACCATCATCATAATTGTCACTCAGCGTGGCCTCCTACTCTGATGCTTACTGACAAACCTACCTCTCCTGCCTTTCAGGCTAGCATCAAGGCGCAGTGGGTCAAGCCGCCACTTGTGACACCAGTATCCCATATCAGAGTGGTTCAAGTCCCGGCTGCTCCACTTCCAATCCAGCTCCTTGCTAATGCACCGGAGAACACAGTGGAAGACGGCTCAAGGGCTTGGGTCCCTGCACCCACGTGGGAAACCCGGATGCATTCTGGGCTCCTGGCTCCTGACTGTTGTGGCAATTTGGAGAATAAACCAGCAGATGGAAGAGATAGAAGATCTCTCTCTCTCTCTCTCTCTCTCTCTCTCTCTCTGACGTTATGCCTTTCAAATAAATCTTTTTTTAAAACCCTGCTTTTGTAACTCTTTATTCCAGTACTTTTTTTTTTTTGATAGACAAAGATATATATATAGAGAGAGAGAAAGAGGGAGGGAAAGAGCTTCATTGCAGGCATCTAGGAGTAAATCAGTGGATGGCAGATCTCTGTCTTTCAAATAAAGTGAAGATAAATAAATAAAAATTTAAAAATTTACTTTCAATAACTAGTTTTTCAAATTAGAATAAAAGGTTAAAATAAGCTTAAATATTTCAATTGTTCTTGGTCATAAAGTAGACTAATATACATACGACCACCAGCTCTGAAGATAGGCATTATTTATTTCTGTGGAACAAATTACTCCAAAACTCTCTAGCTTAAGAGGACATTGAGGGGCCAGCACTGTGGGCAGTGGGCTAACGCCCTGGCCTGAAGCACCAGCATCCCATATGGGACTTGGCTGCTCCACTTCTGATCCAGCTCTCTGCTATGGCCTTGGGAAAGTAGTAGAAGATGCCCCAAGTCCTTGGGCCCCTGCACCTGTGTGGGAGACCCAGAAGGAGCTCCTGGCTCCTGGCTTCAGATCGGCATATCTTCGGCCATTGCGGCCATCTGGGGAGTGAACCATCAGATGGAAGATTCTCTCTCTCTCTCTCTCTCTCTCTCTCCCTCTCTGCCTTTCAAATAAATAAATAAATCTTTAAAAAAAAAAGACTAAAAGGACATTGAACTTTTTTTTTATTTCTCACCACTTTCTGTGGGGCAAGGATTTAGGAGCAGCTTAGCTGTGTGGGCCTGGCTCAGGTCTCCCACTATCAAAACGTCAGTCTTGTGAGCTGGGGGGGTCTTCCAGCACCTGGGCCGGCTCACGGCAGGCAGGCGGTGCTGGGCACTAGGGTGGGGCATCAGGCTGTGCATGCTTCTCTGACTTGGTGGCTGGCTTCCCACAAAAAACAGAGGAGAGAGAGAGAGGGAGAGAGAGAGAATCGGGGGAGTCCCAGCCTCTTAGGACATCTTGGAAATCAGTCAGCATCACTTCCACCACCCATCACCAGCCATGAGTCACCGAGTCCAGCCTACATTCAATGGAAGAGAAATTGCTCTCATTTTGAAGGCAGGGGTGTCAAATCTTTCCTGTACATATTTTTAAACCACCAGTGGTTACATTTTAATGCAAATGAGCTTAAAACTAGCATCATTTATTTTGCGGTAAAATTCACAAATCTAAATGTAAATAGCTCAATTACTTAACTTTTTTAAGATTTATTTATTTACTTGAAAGTCAGAGTTACACACAGAGAGGAGAGGCAGAGAGAAAGAGGTCTTCCATCCACTGGTTCACTCCCCAGTTGGCCGCAACAGCCGGAGCTACGCCGATCCGACACCAGGAGCCAGGAGCTTCTTCCAGGTCTCCCACATGAGTGCAGGGGCCCAAGGACCTGGACCATCTTCTGCTTTCCCAGGCCATAGCAGAAAGCTGGATCAGAAGTGGACCAGCCGGGACTCGAACAGGCACCCATATGGGATACTGGCACTTCAGGCCAGGACATTAACCTGCTGAGCCACAGTGCTGGCCCCCATGACTTAATTTTTTAAAAAAAGATCATGTATTTATTTATATGAAAGGCAGAGTTATAGAGACAGAAGAGACAGGAGAGAGGGAGACCTACATCCACTGGTTCATTCCCCAAATGAACACAGCCCACAACTGCCGGGGCTGGGCCAGGCTGAAGCCAGGAGCCAGGAGCTTCTTCTAGGTCTCCTACAACTGTACCGAGGCTCAAGCACTTGGGCCATCGTCTGCTTTCCCAGGCACAGCAGCAGGGAGCTGGATCGGAAGCAGAGCAGCCAGGACAGGGAGTGGCACACATGCAGGATGCCGGAGTCACAGGCAGCAGCCCAAGCCCACCAGCTGCGCTCCGTGATTTCACTTGAGCAGACGCCTGTGTAACCACCACCTATACCAACGCAGAGTACATCTTCAGCACCTCAGAAAGTCCCCGGATGTGAACTTCTTCGGATTTCCTGTGTGTAGGATCATCCTCTATAAATACACGCAGCTTTAGTGGTTTCTTTCCACCCTGAGTCTCAGCTCAGGGAGAATCTGTTCAGGATCTCTCCTTTGTCCATGGGCTTTTCCTAGGTGACTTTTAGCGGACTACTACTCCTAGTTTCATTGTGCTTTGGCAATAGAAGTCCGAGTGGAAT